GCTTGTAACCTAAGTAATTTAGTTGAAGGATATGGTAGTCTTAAGACTGATGAATTCTGGCACAACCCATACAAAAAAGTTCTATAGAGCTCTATAGAATTCTATAGAAATGTATATAGAGTTCTATGTAACTCTATAGAGGCAAACAAATTCTATAGAAATGTTTTATAGAGTTTACGCATTCTATAGAATTTTAATATTTTCTATAGAATGTTGTAGTCCACTCTATAGAAAATTAGTTTGTTGCACAATTCATGTATTGGTAACCTACAGTGGATTTTCAATAAATGTGTTATTGCAGAAGCTTGGTTTTGAATATGAAACATGTTTATTAAACAATAATAATAAAAAAAATAATAAATAAAACTATTGCTTTTGGCTCATGGTCTGATGTTGAGTAACTAAATAATGCATAGAGTTTAATATGTGTATCATTTTGTCGAAAAAAATTATGCTTCATATTTCTGGAAAAATTTTATAGAAATCTGTAACATTCTCTTTAGAAGCTGTATAGAAATTCTATAGAAAATTCTATAGACATCTATAACATTTGCTTTAGAAGTTGTATAGGAATTCTATAGAATATCTGTTTGGAAATGTATAACAGATGCATAAGTTACAGTATCAATTAGCATGCTCACATTTTAAGTTAAAATGTTAAAAACATTAAATTAAGCATTTAATTTAAACATTTAAGTTAAATTATACATTAAATTAAACATTCAATTAAATGTTAAAAACAGCAAATACTTAGCCTTACACCACATTTCAAAATTGAAATGAAAAATGAATTTAATGCACATATTTGTAACAAATACTTAATTAATCTTACAAAATCATTAACCACAAACCACCATGGTGACCATTTTAAAGTTACTGTTAGTGTAACTTAAAACCTAACTACTTTAATCATCATTCCAGATGGGAGAGAGACATCGTTTTCAATAACAAGACAATGGATCAGGCCGTGATAGGGGTCCAATTTATGAGTTGAGATGCACGATTTAGTAAATTATTTATTGTATGAAATGCTATATTATATATACTTTCCTACACAAAACAAACGATTAATTACAGAAGGTTTTATATAAATGCATTTAATAAGAATTATAACTCAACTGGTCTTAAATGGTTTCCCCGCCCCTCTATTAAACATGGTACATTCCTCAACTGGGTGGTGAAATTTGAAAGCTAACTGTTGTCATCGACATCTCTCTCTCTCGCTTGCTGCACCCTTTGTTGTTGTGATGTCCTCCTTTTGTTCAGTAATAATTGCAAACTGATATTTTATTGAAATGGTTAATACCTGTAGCAATGTCTATGTACTAGTTAAATGGACGTTCTTCCGTTGAAACTCAACCTAGCCTAGGATAGCCGCTAGGCCTATTCTGTTGCCATTTGGAAAAAAAAGAAGAGTCCGCAACATGCCAAGGTCTCTAGGCCTATGCACAGTCAGTATTGTGGTAAGTAAAGAAAACATAATCTCCTTTCGTCCATTTATGTACGCCTTTCACATTACGCCTAGTTACTTATTCTAGCCTAGGCCTAGATATAATTTTGTAGCTAAGTATCAAGTTTAGTTCAGTCAGTTCGTCAGTCAGTGCAGTGGCAGTGTTTCTGTTCGTATACTAACTAGGCCTAGGCTAAACCTAAGAATTGAGTTAAAAAAAGTGCAACAGGTCAGGTACGGGCGTTGGGACACAAAAGAAAAATCGTTTTTTACCTACCTAGGCCTAGCCTAGGCTTAGGCCTCTTCCTTAACCTAGGGCCTACAGTACACAGTACCTAGCCTAGCTAAGCCTAGGCCTAAGTCCTGCCTAAGGCAGGAAATTTGAAAAATAAAATGCATTTTTTTCTTTAAATATCATTTATTTATTGTATTTTGTGTCAACCAAAAATATTAAGACTTGTTTTTTGCATAGTTCAATATACTTCACTCTTTTTCAAAATGAATGATTGTATAACTGTCAACTGTCTGACCTCAATAATTGATATTTTAAATTCAACAACCACACAAGTCATGCCCAAAAACATCAATAGCTGGAACTTTTTAATATACTCATATTCTATACACAGGAAGTTTCAATTATGCTGTAATTAAAGTTTGAAATATTTCAAGCATAATTATATTTTTGTTGACCAAAAAATATGGTATAAATAACTGGGGTGTGAATATTTTACATGGATGTCCATTGACAGTCAAATACTAATAGCATGCGCAAATGTGGGAGGTAAATTTACTAATAAATAGTAAATAATTATCTATCTTCCAATAGATTGACATTGGCAATGGTTTACTTATAGAAAAGGACCAGCTCATAGCCATCACTCAGATAAGCGATGGGGCACGAGGCAAATTCAAAATTTGTTTGTTATTGTTTCCGATGCATGAAGTGGTAGGGAAATACAAGATAGGGAAGAAAAGCAAGGCACATGTGGAACATCGGTAGAGAAAGAGCGTTTGGATCCCATCTGAATTACTGCCATAACAGGTAGGTAATTTGTTGAATAAGTTTGTGTTTTACCTTTTAAATGAAAATACTGCAGGTTTATGTATTGTAATAAGGGATTTATATTTCAAAAGATAAATGGTACATCAACATGTAATGTAAAGCTTTTTTATTTGGGTTAGACATTGAATTTTTTTTCTTTAAATTTTAATCTGAAAGTTTGCATTGTCCCTTTGTAACCAATTAATAACCATCAAAAGGGAGCCCGTCTTTATTACTGACTTAACCTTCACTGTAGCTACATCTTACTGTATATGTTCTGCATAGCACTTGAGGGAAGAAACTTTAATATTAGACAGTTAATGAAGGAAATATTTTGCTACAAGTGGAATACTTATATTAAAATTATATTTAGATTTTGTACAAGATAACAAATAATATGAAATAATACTTTTATTGGACCACTACTTTTAAGATATCTGCATTTTATTCTTTAGAGATTACTAATTACTAATTTTAGACATTGCACCAAAATTATTAAAATTCATCCTGCTCTTGGTGCTTGCCTGTTTATGAGTTTTCGATTTAGAAGCCTATAAGAGTATTCAATTTGTTTGCATTTTTTTTACCCCCAGATTTCCTGAGGCTTCAACTACTCTTTTGAGGCAGTCTCTGCAAAACAGAATAAAGAAAATGAACAAGCCTATAAATTGGGAATACCATGTATGCATTTTTGTTTTTAAATTTGTTATTTAACTTTAATTCCAAACTTCGTTTATATTAGATTTGTGTAGTATTTTATTATATTTGATGTTTCAGTGTGTAGGCCATCTTAAAGTTAGGTTCAGAAAAGTTGTTTTTTTTTTCAATTTTTTTTTTATGTTGAACTGATTTTTTTAAAACCCAAAAATAATATTTGATGAAAAACTTTGAAGCGGTTAATGAGATTCAGATTTTTTAATATTTAAAAACTGGGGGAAAAAGAGACATAACCACCCTTTTTCCTTCCTTAGTTTTCCCCAGTTTTTAAATATTCAAAAATCTGTATCTCTCTCATTAACTGTTTCCAAGTTTTTTGCCAAATATACTTTGAGGCTTAGAAAGATTAGTTCTACAACATATCAACACATTTATGTCCGCCAGAGCTTGGCTTTATTAAATAGAAATGCTACTTCCACATCAATAATTATATCTACCCTTGTCATATTTTCTTTAAAAATAACATTCGTTTAAATATTTTTGTCTTGCCATATTATTGAATATACAACATAAAATCAATAATTTCTTATTTATGTGAGTAGCAATTATTTCAGTACTGTATTTTATTTTGTAGCTCTAGTACAGTAGGTTTAGTACCTGAGTATATTTTTTCTTTAAGGGGCCAATCACAATTGAAAACATAGTGTATTAAAAGAGTACTCTTTTTTGGCACCTCAACCCCTTTAAAAAGTGTACATACATGGAAAATGTTGATTTTGCAATACTGTTCTCTATGGCCTTTTTTTTTTCAATGGGTACATACAGTAGATACATAATTAGGTTTAAATATATCCATATTGGCATGTTAATAAATTTAGAAAACCGATTTCAATCAATATTTTAAGCTTTTGTAAATTCTTTTCATTTAATTTTGTATTTAGTATTAGGCCTTTTCCCCCTTAGCATATTGTTTATACATTTGTTGATAATTATGAACCGTCCATACAGTGCAGAGTTATCCACCTTATGTTTTGAAATTTCTTTTTTGGGTCTTTCACATCTACTAAATGTGTGTAAAGTTAAATCTAATACTGTACTGTAATAGTATATAAAAATATGTAAAACTTTTTCTTTCATCTACAGTACCCCTATCAATATCGCTTACAGTACTTTGATGTTATTTAATATATTTATAATATTTTATATAGGCCTGCAATTTACTGTAAATACAGCTATGATATAAAATTATTTTTATAAATCTTTATATGTTTGCACAATACCACTAGTGCTACATCGTAAAATTCAATGCAGTTTATTCTTTTAAGATATTGAAACCAGTTTTTTTTTTTCTACTATTTAAATGATACAATGCAAGCATTTTAGTTTGGTTGTTTGAACTGTGATATATATATGTTTAATGTGTGTTAAATAAAGATCTTGAGAATGAATACATTTTGTTGGGATTTCTGTACAGTGGGTTCAAACATTTCATGTTTACTGCAGTGCCATGAACTACCAAAACACATTTGTACATTACAATCATCTTGTAGGCCTATGATTTTTTATTTTTACACTTTTTTTTGATTCGTGAAAACAATTTTTTATTGATCGAACGATACAGTTTTCTATAAAAAAAATTACATCAGCATTATTTTCTAGAGAAGTGCTGTGAATTTCTATGAAAATTAATTTTATCAGTGTTATTTTCTATAGAAATGCTGTTTTTTTTCCTATAGAAAATATAATATATCAGCATTATTTCTAAAGAAATTCTGTACATTTCTAAAGAGAATAATACAGTTTTCCATAGAAAATATATTATATCGGTGTTATTTTCTATAGAATGCTGTTATTTTCCACAGAGATTTATATAGTTTTCTATAGAAAAAATTATATCTGCAATAATTTCTATAGAAATGCTGTTCTTTTCTATAGAAGTATTGTGAATTTCCATAGAAAATAATAGTTTTCTATAGAAAAGAAATTATAACAGCGTTACTTTCTATAGAAATGCTGTTATTTCCTATAGAAGTATTGTGAATTTCTATAGAAAATAATAGTTTTCTATAGAAAAGAAATTATAACAGTGGTACTTTCTATAGAAATGCTGTTATTTTCTATAGAGATTTACATAGTTTTCTATAGAAAAAGATTATATATCTGCAATAATTTCTATAGAAATGCTGTTCTTTTCTATAGAAGTATTGTCAATTTCTATAGAAAATAATAGTTTTCTATAGAAAAGAAATTATAACAGCATTACTCTCTATAGAAACACTTGTTGTTTTCTATAGAAATGCTGTTAATTTCTATAGATTCTTATAGAGAATTAAGCCACTTTTCTTTAGAAATTGTATAGAAATCCTTTAGAAATTGTATAGAAATTC